AATTGACACACAATACCCCATAATGACAAAGTGAAAACATGTTTTTAGACATTTTTTGAAAAATGTATTGAAAATGAAATACAGATATCTAATTTATATCAGTATTCACACCCCTGAGTCAATACTTTGTAGAAGCACCTTTGACGGCGATTACAGCTTTATCATCTTGGGTATGTCTGTATCAGCTTTGCACATCTGGATTTGGAGATTCAAGTGTTTCCACAGATTTTAAATGGGATTCAAGTCTGGACTTTGGCAGGGCCACTCAAGGATGTTCACATTCTTGTTCTGAATCCATTCCAGCGTTGCTTTGGCTGTATGCTTCGGGTCATTGTCCTGTTGGAACGTAAATCTTCTCCCCAGTCTAAGGTTGTTTGCACTCTGAAGCAGAGTCTCATCAAGGATTTGCCTGTATTTGGCTCCATTCATTGTTGCTGCCACCACCATGCTTCACGTTAGGGATGGTGTTAGGCAGGTGATAAACTGTGCCTGGTTTGCTCCAGACATAGCGCTTTGATTGGATTTGCATTCAGGCCAGAGAGTTACATTTGTCTCATCAGACCACAGAATCTTTTGCCTTATGCTCTGTCTTTCACGTGACTTTTTGCAAACTCCAGGCGTGCTGTCATGTGCCTTTTTGTCAGGAGTGGCTTCCGTCTGGCCACTCTCCCATAAAGCCCAGATTTGTGAAGTGCTGTAGATACTGTTGTCCTTCAGCCAAGGAACTCTGTAGTTCTGTCTGGTCATTGGGTTCTTGGTCATGTCCCTGACCAAGGTCCTTCTTGCCCGGTTGCTCAGTTTGGTTGGGCGGTCAGCTCTAGGCAGAGTCTGGGTAGTTCCATATTTTTTCAATTTCCCAATGATGGAGACCACTGTGCTCTTGGAAGCATGGTGGTGGCAGCATCATGCTATGGGGATGCTTTTCAGCGGCAGGGGACTGTGAGACTGGTAAGGATGGAGGGAACAATGAATGGCGCCAAATACAGGCAAATCCTTGATCAAAACCTTCTTCAGAGTGCGAATGACAGACTGGAGCAAAGAATTACGGCCCAACAGGACAATGACCCCAAGTATACAGCCAAAGCAACGCTGGAATGGCTTTAGAACAATAATGTGAAAGTCCTTGAGTGGCCCAGCCAAAGTCCAGACTTGAATACCATTGAACATCTGTGGAAAGACTTGAAGATTGCTGTTCACCGCCACTCCCCATCTAACTTAAGAGCTTGAGAAAATGTGCAAGGAAGAGTAGGAGAAAATCCCCAAATCCAGATGTGCAAAGCTGTTACAGACCTACCCAAGACTCAAAGCTGTAATCATCGCCAAAGGTGCTTCTACAATGTATTGACTCAGGGGTGTGAATACTTATGTAAATGAGATAATTCTGCATTTAATTTAATATATTTGCTACAATTTCTAAAAACATATTTTCACTTTCATTATGGGGTATTGTGTGTAAAATTATTTTTTTTAATCAATTTTGAATTCAGGCTGTAACACAATGTGGAATAAGTCAAAGGGTATGAATACTTTCTGAAGGCACTGTAGGCGAAGGATCGATAAGCTGCTCTTCAGGGGTTACTGGTGTCTTCTGGCAGTAGCTTAAGGTGTTGTAAATCCTGGTAGAATAGCTTTCAGCAGAGCATATTTAACTGGTCTCTACTCTGGAGGGAATAGTCTCTGGAGTCTGGACATGGTGATGTGCCAAGACTGTTCTAATAGAGTTGTCTTTCTAGGTTGTGTGTCCCAACTGGCACCCTATTCCTTATATAGTGCATTACTTTTGACCATGCAAAGTAGTGCACTATATAGGGAATAGGGTGACATTTGGGTCACATCAACAGAGATTAGGCTGATTATTAATCTTGAGGGCCACCAGGAAAAACTACCAGCACACTGATCAGTGATCAACCTCTAGGAGGAAGCTCTGAGGTAAATAGTTGACAAGATAAAGTTATGGTTAAACAGTTATGGAGCAGCACATGGGATCTGTACAGTGTAATGGATTATTTTTGGTCAATTCCTTTAGCAACAAGTGATCGAAGTTGCATCTGACAGAACACAGACCCACATGGGAGACAGGCGTGTGTCATCAATGCATCTGACAGAACACAGACCCACATGGGAGACAGGCGTGTGTCATCAATGCATCTGACAGAACACAGACCCACATGGGAGACAGGCGTGTGTCATCAATGCATCATGAGCACAGAAAATGAAAAAAGAAGACAGGACTAATTTATAAGACAGCATTTTCCACAACATTTTATTTAGGATATTACCATAGATATATGTAACTTTTGACAACAGGTATCAACTACAGAATAATACATTTAATAATTCTGCCATTTCATATTTTTTCCAATTTTCCTTTAGCCAGTACATGGTTTGGTCCAGTAACATTCAGTGGATGATTCTTCCTCGCTCTCTTGATGTCCTTGGATCGATAATGTTAAACATATAACACATGCACATGTCATTCACCTGTATACATTTGGGTAAGACAACGGTCAGACTTATTTTCTTGGAGACACCCATTACTAATAAGGCTATACTTACAGCTATGCACCAAAAGGTTCACTCTGCTGTTTCTAAATATAGAGCACCATATTTACATTCTATTTACAGACATTTTGTTTAAAAAGAAAAAGAAAAAAATACAAGATATTTTTCTCTGTTAGTTTTTAGTCCGAGGTGCCTTTCAATCTAAGGCTGTACAGGGTTGAAATATAAAATGAAAATATGTTTATTTACAGATAGCTGCAACATGTAGCTTATTGCCAATGCCCTTAAAATATATCCCCACATCTCACCCATACCCCATTTCTTTCTTTACTAAGCCTGGTCCTTTAAAGCTTACAGAGAGGAGTCTCTCCTGAAAGGTGCATGTGCTCTACTGAACCACTAATCCTGAATGTGAAACCTCAATTCTACCCTTCACCCTGCAGTGTCCAGTAAGGTGTGGGTGTGACACACACACAGCGATGTTAGTCCCCAACGAAAGACTCACGGGCCCACTTCAACACAGAACCATTTTTAAAACAGCAGATCGTTCAAAAGTCCAAAAATAAAACTTTTTTTTAAACATATATACATATACTCAACAAACACCCTTTAAAAACAAACAAACCAGCCTGCCAGATCAGTCAGAAGACCAGCCGGCCAGACAGAAGACCAGTTACAGTAACAAAGTAAAACAGTCTAACAAAGCAAAGACATTGGTGTGTGCACACGGGTCCACTGGAATACAGAGACCCAATGCAGTTTTCAATTGATTCATTTTCTTTTAGATTCTCATGCCCTTCTATGGATCTTAAAATGCATTTTCTAAGATGTTATGTCAACAAGACAGGTGGTCAACCAAGGACACGACCAAAACGTGAACGGGACCAAATCTACACCACATGAAACCCGTGTGGGCCTGCCTGCTACCTTAAGGCCCAGCACAGGAAAACACACACTACTACCGTACTTTACATTCAGTTTGACATGTTGTCATGTACTTTCAATCATTTCAGGAGTTTGGCCATTTTGCAAATGAATAGCAGTAGTTATACTTACAGATGAATGACCCTTTCTGTTAGAATAGTGTCTAAAAGATTGCAGCTCCTACCTGTAGTCACTATACAATAGTAAGTATAGTAGCATTTGACCCGAATAGGTTAATTTATTCTGCCTCAGAAGAGGAGTGCATTTAGATTGGAATAAAGACTGAGCTGAAGCCTTATTTTCCCCAGGTTACAGTCTCAGTAACACCAAAGTAAACCAGGTGTTTTGAAGTAGCACTTCTTAAATGGCGGTTTGGACACAATAATTAATGTTGCCTTCAAATCAATTCAGTGAGAGCTGTATACCCATTAGCCATCTAAAATGCATCTTTAATTCCATACACTTTGAAAATACAAACATAAAACAGATTGTCTGTGTGCAATATCAAAGTAAAATAACTTCAGACAGTAGTTTCCATCTGTCACTGTAAAATGAGGTTACTCAATCAAATCTCTAGAAGTTACATACCACCAAGTTTCTTCTCAGTTGGTCGTCGTGTTTTAAGACTGCATGGGAGGAGCTTATATCAACATGAAGGTTACAGGTTACTTCCCTTCCTCCAGGCCCATATATGGTGACTGGTATCTCTGTCCTTCTCTACCTCTCCCAGCTGCATGGTGACTGGTATCTGTCCTCTACCTCTCCCAGCTCTATGGTGACTGGTATCTGTCCTCTACCTCTCCCAGCTGCATGGTGACTGGTATCTGTCCTCTACCTCTCCCAGCTCTATGGTGACTGGTATCTGTCCTCTACCTCTCCTAGCTCTATGGTGACTGGTATCTGTCCTCTACCTCTCCCAGCTGTATGGTGACTGGTATCTGTCCTCTACCTCTCCCAGCTGTATGGTGACTGGTATCTGTCCTCTACCTCTCCCAGCTGTATGGTGACTGGTATCTGTCCTCTACCTCTCCTAGCTGTATGGTGACTGGTATCTGTCCTCTACCTCTCCTAGCTGTATGGTGACTGGTATCTGTCCTCTACCTCTCCTAGCTGTATGGTGACTGGTATCTCTGCCCTGTCCTCCTCAACCTCTGTTAAAAGTTGTATTTTTTACCCCAAAATATAGGTAATCTAAAATCACATCCATATTTATATCAACACCCCAACTCACCTCAGAATTTAGTTAAGTTCCGTTACCTCGTCTCATCAACAACACCCCAACTCACCTCAGAATTGAGTTAAGTTCTGTTACCTCGTCTCATTCCAGGGGGAACTAGTGATAGTAGCCAAAACAAAAGAATCCCTAGCAGCATGCACCTCATAGGTCCTAGTGAAGAAACAAAAACAATAAAATAACAAAAAGTGTAATCTTTTAAGACAACAGCAGAAGGCAGGTTTTGATGGTGAGGTGTTCTGAGGTCAGACGTATGCTACAGCAGTGACTGTGGTTGGACAGATTCGACTGGCAGAGTCGTGTCGGAGGGCGCCAGGGCGGTGTGTGTATGTCATATGACCTGGCAGCAGCTGGCCTGAGAGGAGGTACACAGGAGCCCTTCTCTGGGGCTGCGCTGGATGTTCACAGAGATGGTCTTTTCACACAGAGGTAGCTGGAGCACATTGTTTTTCAGGTTGTTCAGCTTATTCTTCTCCTTGGTGGCCAGGGCCAGTTCGCTAAGTGCTGCTGCCGCCGTTTGGTCTGCGTATGCCCTTGGAGTGTTGACAGCGGTGGTTGGCAGAGCGATGGTGTCTAGCTCCAGGTCCAAGCTGCCGTTGGAGCCAATGCACATCTTCCAAGAGGACGTCTCCTGTGTCTTGACGCTGCCGGCTGACAGGCTGCTGGACAGACTATTGGAAAGGTTCTGAGGGTCTATGATGAACTTGCCCACCCCTCCCGCCAGGCCGGGGCCTCCACTTCTCCCCCTCTGCTGTAACTGGGAGCTGAGACACAGGCTCATGAGCTTCAGGCTCTCCATCAGCTCTGCTGCCCCGGGGCTGCGCGAGGCACAGTGTCTCCGCATGGACCCTGAGCCTGAAGAGGAGTGTTTACTGCTGCCGTTAGAACAACTGGAGGGTGAACCCTGTCCCTTACCACCCCCTCCTCCTCCTCCACTACTACCACCACCACTCCCTCCACTGTCACTACTCCCCCCACCTCCCCCTCCAGGAGGACTGCCCCTGTCTGGTCCTGAGCTGCCCCCCTCCCCGGGGGGTTTACTTTGCCCTCCGCTGCTCCCTCCACCATTTCCCCCCTGAGTTTCCAGGCGGGCCCTCACTGCTGTCCCTGCGGTTCCAGCTGTAGGTGAAGCCTGTGTCCTTGTCCAGACGCCGGCGGTGGCTCTCTGAGTCGTCGTCACTGGTCTCCGAGCTGGAGCAGGACGAGCCGCGGCCTTGGCTCTTGCGGCGGTGATAGCGTTTCTGAGTGGTGCCCGGTGACCCGGCCGCTGCGGCAGCAGCGACGTTCATCTTTAGCCGGCTGAGTTTGGGTGGCAGCCCCTCATCCATATCGAAGTCGTCGTCTGACTCACCCTCCTCCTCAAAGATCTGGTTGAGGACCGGGGCGCTCTTCCTGGAGGTCAGCCGGTTGGTGATGGACGGAGCCTTGCGACGCAGGATCACTTGGGTGGACAGAGAGGACGGGTCCGGTTCCTCTTCCTCCTCTTCGTCCTCCTCTACCCTGAACAGGCAGCTGCGCTGCTTGGCTGAGGAGGTGGAGGGTGTGGGGGCCGTGGCCCCAGCTCTAGGGGGCCCAGAAACGGGAGCAGGGGCACTGGAGGCCCCTGCGTTGCTCTCATCCCAGCGGAGCTCCAGCAGGCCCTTGGTGCGGTGTCCGTTGAGAAGGTTCTCAGTGCTGCGGGCGGGGGACTGGGGACCACCAGCGTGGGAGATGGAGGAGGCTGCCAGACTGTCCTCGATGTCCTGATGCATGTCAATCTTCGTCGGCCAGGACTGTCTGGAAGGGCAGAGAGCAGACCAGAGTTACCCAAACTATTCCCCTGGTTAGTATACGCTGCACTGACTTTATATAAAGTCAGAGGAGAAAATAAACTAAGATAAAATAAACAGTATGATCTTAGAATAATCCAGTACTGAACCTGACTAAACAGCTCAGTGAGTCAACATTCTTCTAATCGAGAAGGTCCTTGTTGACATGGCAGAGCAGGAAAACAAACAGAGAACAGAGCACTGGGATCTCTCTCGACGGAGCCCGGCCAAGTCCCAGCGGCACGCAATATAACACAATTAATCCCATGGTAGTCCTGCCTGCCTGCCGTGTGTATGTGAAACCCCCCACGCTGCTGCATGGCGGTGGAGGCCACAGGGCCCTTAGTGCCACTCTGCTACCATCCTAGTTCATTCAGCCAGGCTTTCAAAGGCTTAACTACAGTAGAATATCTCAGACACACACACACCTCAGCTGTGTGACACCGCTCTGGCTCCATTCATTAACTCTCACAACCGCAGACGATCCCGAAGAACTCTACAGACAATCCCTGAAGCCAACTACCTGATAAAGCTCAGCTTCAGCCCACGATGGCACAGAGAGAGAGGGAGGGAGAGCGAGAGCGGGGGAACATTCCCCCTCTTGTCAAGGTCACTGTTTTGGGCGTATATAAACTGGCATGCATATGGATGATGAATAGTAGACTGTTGTTATTCCTAAAAATAATTTAAGCACTATCAGAAAGTAGTTTTTTTCTGTTATGACAGCATGTTGCCTGATGCCACACGCTGACACAGTGTTTCTGTGTTAAAATACACAACAGTACAACACTCAATGATCAAAAACAATGTGCAGTGAACTGAGGAGCTCAGGGCAGTAGAAACAGTAGGGCAGTAGAAGCCTGTACTGCTGCACCATACATTTCAGTGGATTTGGCTCACATTCTACTCCTGCACCAAGGGGGCCACGACCCAGGAGCTATAATTGGGCCTTCTCCCTCCGAGCACCTGTTTGTCCATGGGTTTCTGGTCAAATGGGTTACAGCGAGCAGGCCAGGAGGGAGCAGCTTCAGCCTGCATGTGTTTGATCTCTCCTCTCTTCTTCCTCCAAAAGCAGTCTCGCTCCCTCTCTCTGGCTTTGATATTCCGAGAGAGAACCAGACTTCCATTTTCTAGGTCACTCCAAAGAATTGACTGCAGTCAGACATTAAAATACATTTGTCACCACATTGAGGGATCAAATGACGGAGGGAGCGGGATGGGAACTAGACCAAGAGGAAAGGACAGCGTGGGTTCTCCTCCTAATGACAGGCACGGTCCTCCTAGTCAATGAGGAATCATCATTATGACATCTGAATGGCCCCAATAAATGGATGAATGTGTGTAGTAGGCCATTAAACAGGCATTGGTATTGCAGTCAGAGTGGTTGGATCTGGTGGGTTTTATCTGGAGGGGATAGTTTTGGTGTTTATGCATCACACACGCATGTGTGTGTGTATGTCTGTGTGTTCTGTGTTGCATGCATGTATGTATGCATGTATGTGTGTGTGTGTGGCGCATCTGTGTTGCACGTGTGTATGTTACCTGAACTGGGCCTTGATGTTACTGGGGCTGGAGGAGCGTGTCTGGACCTCCTTCTCCTGTTTCTCTCTCAGGATCCTCTCAGCCAGCAGGAAGTAGGTGGCAGTGATGTGGTTGTACTTGTTGGTCTCCAGGGCTCTGGAACAACACCATGGACAGGACAGCAGAGGACATGTTAGGACAGGCTGGGAGAGAAGGCCAAGAGAGGGTTACACACCCACACACACAAGAGACAAGTACGGTATGTCAACAGACAAGTCACCGCAGGGCAAACCCAATCACGTCGGCATTTAAAGAAGCCATTTGATACATCTAAATGTAAACAAAGCAAGATAACAGGTTCTAACCTTTAGCTGCCCTCTAACCCCTCTGGAATCAATGAGACAATAGATAGCTGGTTCACATCCCTCGACAGCCTCTGGGATTATTCTACACTGTGTTCTCGACAGCCTCTGGGATTATTCTACACTGTGTTAATGAACAATCAAGTGAACTCCTCCCCATAATGTATGTGTGTGTGTGAATGAGAATGTCTGTCTGTAAGGTGGGAGGTGGGGGCTTCACCGGGACAATAATCTCTTGAATGACTGGGAAGTGGGGATAAATCCTCCCTGCATCCCTCTGTCTTTCCTCCTCATCAGTAAAGCCCTTCCTTCAGACAGGGTTAATAAAGGAGGCCAGTGTTCCTGTGAGGAACCTCTATCCTCACTGTGTGTCTGTGGCTGTAAAACACGGCTGGCAGCGGCCCTGCTGCTTTAAAGTGGAGTCAGTATGTATGTTTCAAATCACATCCATGATTCATGTTCAGGGTAGGAGGATAAGGGAGGGCTGCTGTTGAGTTCACATTACAGTTCAACACTTTGGTCTCTTATCTGCTGACTGAGTCCCCTCAGATGTTCAGGTTCAGTTCTATGCGTTAGTAGTGCAGATGTTAGTAGTGAGTGTGACAAAGAAACAGGTTTGGTGGGTTGCAGTTGTAGAACCCTCAATATGAAAAGGGCAAATGAAGAACAGACTTCACAACATAATTATTTCATTCATGCCTCGACAGAGCAAATGTCACAGTCAGTCAATCATTGGGAAAAGTCAACGCCAAATAAATTATTTCAAATACCTCGTGACTTTCAGAAGACTAACGGCCGTCTGCAATTGTGTGTGTGTGTGTGTGTGTGTGTAGGTTAGGGCTGTGGCGGTCATGACATTTTGTTAGCCGGTGATGGTCATGCAAATAACTGTTGGTCTCACGGTAATTTACCGTTAATGAACATAAACATGTTTAGCATCTCCTGGCTTCCACGCCTAGCCTACAAGTCACTGATGCAGACCTTTGGAACATCTACATGTTAATATAGCCTACACCATCACAATAAATCCATTATTTATTTTAGACAGGTCTAAAGAAACATGATATGAAGAAAATGTAGTCTATTTCAGAAGAACAGAATAGCATACTCTGAGTCGTCCTTATGTTAAGCCCTGATCTGGCTATGCCATATGGCTGTGTGCAACACTAGTTCATTTAGCAGACAAGATTTGCTTAGAATTCTGTGGCATTATTTCATAGTATGAGGAATACAATTGAACATAGCTGAATAAAATAGAAAGGTTATTTTCTCCAAATGATTTCCAAGTATGTTCGCTCATGTGGCTATTCTGTGTTGAGCGGTTAACAAAGAAACAGGTCCTGCTATATGCTTAATTTAGAGTTATTTATGCGACTTTAGTTGTGATACAACATTAGGCTATATGTTTCGATTTTATATACCTTCTAAGGCTGCATGATGTGACTAATGATTTGAAAAAAAGTTACATGAAAGGCATGAGCTCTGTTCTGTTTCTTGCGCAGGCTGCACACACTTCATCAGTCTCATGCACAATTTTACAAGCACTTGATAATATTCTCAGCCATCAGACCATTCTCAATTTAATCTGGTCTTTACATATATAATACATGTGTGGAATTATTTTTGATTTCGAATGGCCCACTACTTTTTGTTTTTTTACGTAATCCGTAGCCTGCACTCGAATAGCGGAATGGAGGTTACGTGTGGCGTGTCCATAAGGCTAGGGGAAGCTAAGCTTTCCCTAAAGTAAAGTAAATGGACAAAATTATATAGCCTAATTAGCCTACTCCTGTCTATACAGAAATACATAAAATCATTCAAAATAGGCTACTAAAGCATGATTTGGCCACAGAGGATCATTAGCTTCTTTTAAAAAAATAAGTTGGAAGGAAAGGCAGCGTGCGCAATTTGGGCAGATTATCGCAATATTCAAAATACAATCGTGGGAAAACATAGATTACAGCAATAACAATTTGCTTTCTAAAGAGAAGACAAGGAAAATACTAATCTGTCTTTTAGTTATCAAAATTCTCAACTAAATTGAGCTAACAGTAGTATAGCCCAGTGTTGCCAACTCATTTTCAGGGGAAGTTGCTAGAGGCAGGTCGATTTGTTGCTAAAAGTTGCTAAATGACGTTGTGATGTCATTGCGTGATGACATCGTTACGTAATAATGTAAAACTGCGTCATTACGTAGAATACACAATAACGTTACTCAAATTGACTGGCCATCTTGACGACAAATATGATTTAACATTTGTTAGTTTAGATTTGTTTGTTTATTATCGCATATTTTATTTGTAAAAGTAATAAACACAACACATTTATATGATCAGATCTTTTTATTTTATTTTTGAACAATTACATTTTATTTATTTTCTTATTAACTAGTAAACCTACACATTCTGTACAAGTATAGTTTTAAGCAGTGTACTGGTAGTTAGTTAACATGCTACCTAACTGATCAACAATTATAGGTACAAGCTAATAACAAGGTATATATGCTATCTTATTGAACAAGCAACTTAACTCAAATAATGATGTGTGTGCTAGGCATCTCTCTCCAGCTCTCTCCAGGTTGTTGTGCTGCTTGGCTGGCCTGCTGCTGCCTGTGCACGAGCTGAGCGCCTGCTGCTGACGTCACTCACAATGCACTTTTGCAGCCAGGCAGTGTGTTGTGACTGAGTGTGTGACAGAGAAAATCGTTTTTGTGTCATTTAGAGGGAAAATGTGTGCATTTTAGCGTTTGAGTCACTTTTCAAAAGTTGCTAAAAGTTCCAAAGAAATTGTTAAAAGTAGCTACATTTGTTGCTAGGTGCTGTTTGAAAAAAAGTTGCGAGGGTAGTCTGAAAGGTTGCTAAATCTAGCAACAAAATTGCTAAGTTGGCATCACTGGTATAGCCTATCTTATTGGCACCAGCGGAGAATATCAGCAATATCCCCGGTGAGTGCGCAATGCGCAGATTCACTATTTATCATTTTTGGGTCAGTGCTACTTAAAAGTTAGCGATTGAAAACAGTGAATTAATTATATTATTAGCCTATGACTATCCAATCTACTCATCACATTAGGAATAGTAGACTTTCTAACATAAGTCTGCAAATGCGATGATGCATGGAATGCTTTATTATAAAGGTGCATTTTTATGGTGAAAATGTGCTACCACAAACTTAAAACTCACGCCCCGCCTATGTATGCCAGGTAGGCTACACCGGTTGTAAAGCGGATTAATGTGCTTAATTTTAATAATTGAGCAATAAACATAGCAGCACAAGAAAGTTGGGATCCTCTTTTAAATAGTGGCCAGTCAAAACTATGTTTTCACATGCGATTGTGCAATGACTGAGGTTATAAGGAGTGATTAGAGGGACAATAGAGTGCTGAGTACCAGGCCATTAGCGACTGGCAGTTAGCAAGTTTGGTAGGCTACTAATGACCATCAACGGCATCAGAGCACAGTTTTAGAGAAGCCTAGTTAACTGAGACTAAACGGTCACGTGGAATTTGACAGCGGTCATGACTCGTGACCGCCGGCGTGGCGGTAATACGGTCACCGTAACAGCCCTAGTATAGGAAGACGTTTGTATATCTAGACATCTGTCCATGTCTGTGTGTTAACTTACTCTACTATGGTCTCTCGGTCTGCGATGTCCCCCAGCACCATGCGCTGTATGATGCCGTTGTGCTCCTCCTCAGACAGGCTCTTATGGGACACCAGGGGGGTGTTGAATTTGGTGGCTGGGGACGGGTCCACCCCCTGCAGCCAGGCATGGCTCTCGATCTCCTCCAGAGACGCACGGCCCTTCGGGTCCCGCTGCAGCATCCGGCCTACCAGACTAGAGAGAGGAAAAAGTATTCATTGTTTTTGTCATGATTGACTGAATTTGCTCTTATAGGTTTGCTTTGGTAATGTAAGAGGATGTTTTATCATGCCATTAAAGCTCATTGAATTGCATTGAGAGAGAAACAGATGCAGAAACAGAGGCAGAGAAGAGAGGGCACCATGTTGGTCACATTGCAAAACGACCACAGCACCCCCTGCCCTAGGTAGGGCTGGCACAATTACCATATAACCAAACGTTATGAAGACAGTCATGAGATACACTGAGTGTACAAAACATTAAGAACGCCTTCCTAATATTGAGTTGCCTGGCAACTACTACCATACCCTGTTCCAACAGCACTTAAATACTTGGTCTTGCCCATTCATCCTCTGAATGACACACGTACACAATCCATGTCTCAAGGCTTAAAAATCCTCCTTTAACCCGTCTCCTCCACTTCATCTACACTGATTGAAGTGGATTTAACAAGTGACATCAATAAGGGATCATAGATTTCACCTGGATTCACCTGGTCAGTCTGTCATGGAAAGAGCAGGTGTTCTTAATGTTTTCTACAGTATTCACACCTCAACTTTTTCCGCATTTTGGTGTGTTACAGCCTGAATTTAAAATGGATTTGGCTAAATTTAGATTTTGTGTCACTGGCCTACACACAATACCACAATGTCAAAGTGGAATTATGTTTTTAGAAATGTTATACACATTTCAAAACAGACTCAACCACAAATACCAGGGAGGTTTTCCAATGCCTCCCAAAGAAGGGCACCTATTGGTAGATGTTTTTTTTTTTTTTTAACAGACATTGAATATCCCTTGATCATGGTGAAGTTATTAATTACACTTTGGATGGTGTATCAATACACTCAGTCACTACAAAGATACAGGTGTCCTTCCTAACTCAGTTGCCGGAAAGGAAGGAAACCGCCCAGGGATTTCACCATGAGGCCAATGGTGACTTTAAAACAGTTACAGAGTTTAATGGCTGTGATAGGAGAAAACTGAGGATGGATCAACAACATTGTATTTACTCCACAATACTAACCTAATTAACAGATTGAAAAGAAAGAAGCCTGTACAGAATACAAACATTTGAAAACATGCATCCTGTTGTTTGCAAAAAGGCACTAAAGTAAAACTGCAAAAAATGTGGCAAAGAAATTAACTTTATGTCCTGAATACAAAGTGTTATGTTTGGGGGCAAATCCAACACAACACACTGAGTACCACTCTTCATATTTTAAAACATGTTATGGGTATGCTTGTCATTGGCAAGGACTAGGGAGTTTAGGGATAAAAAATAAATGGAATAGAGCTAAGCACAGGCAAAATCCTAGAGGAAAACCTGGTTCAGTCTGCTTTCTAACAGACACTGGGACACATTCACCTTTCAGCAGGACAAAAAAACAACCCAAAAAGCATTGCAAGACTTGAAAATGGCTGTCCAGCAATGATCAACAACCAACTTGACAGAGCTTGAAGAATTTAAAAAGAATAAATGTGCCAATATTGTTCCATCAAGGTGTGCAAAGCTCTTAGAAACGTAGTCTTTCTGAGTAACAGTGGTAATCGCTGCCATAGGTGATTCTAACATGTTTTGACTCAGGGGTGTGAATACTTATGTAAATTAGATTTCTGTATTTCATTTTCAATACATTTGCAAAAAGTTCTAAAAACATGTTGTTTTCACTGTCATTAAGGGGAGTTTAATCCATGTTGAATTCAGGCTGTAACAACAAAATGTGGAAAAGTCAAGGGGTATGAATACTTTCTGAAGGCACTGTATATTTGTATTTTTTTACGAACAGCTGACTGAAGACGGGACGGCAGACCAGGCAGACCATTCCTGCAGTTGTCAGTTCCTGCAGTAACATGGACTCTTAATGTGTTGAAACGGTTGCTCCTTGCTGAAACAAGAAACTAGCAAACAAGTCTTCGGTTGCCTAGGCAATGCCCCCCACAATGCAGCACATAGAAATAGAATGAATAGAACAGGCTTGGAACATCTAACCCTAGCAATTTGACCAATAAACCCATTGGTACACTTGCAATGGCTGCCTGGTATTGTGATGCAATAATTTCCATGGTAATGTAGAATGTTCGTTCAAATGATGTGGCTCATGCAATGGAATGTATTTTGTGTAATGTCAGTTGAGTTGAATCAACAAATCATAGCACATGTGGATGGGTACACATCCTGCTTGGCTCCTATGGGTGCACACGCAATGGCCGCCAGTCCACCCATTATGCCATCATTGACTTGAATGGGGACGCCCGTTCTATTCATTCTACTTCTATGGCAGCACATGCAGTCAGGCGTGAAGTAGAGGAGAAATGTGAAAAAATATTTGTATATAAATTATTATTTTTACAGAATGCTATTGGAAAGGTTATTATGGAGACCACGGTCATTTGGCTGGCCAATTACCATCATCCAAAATTCCATGACCGTCACACCCCTCCCTCTCTACAGGCAGGTAGCCATGCTGTTCATTACATCACTTTACTGTCCTATACTGTGACTCTGGCTCAGGGATCCATCTAGGACGGTATTTATTACTGCTCATCTCAGCCAACTAGGCTATTTACCCTGAGCTCCCATCCATTTAGACATCCATCTATAAGATATTAACACACAGCAACAACCCTCCATTACCTTCTATGCTGGAAAGCATCCGCTGCTGTACAGTACATCTCAGTTTGCTAACAGTCAAAGTGACAGTTACATTTTCTGTAAAATCACACGTAAAGCGGCAATCCGCAGATTAAACAATAACAAAGCATTTTCCACACCCCTGTTTCGGTAAAAAGCTGAGGGATGGGGCTGGAAAAATGTAACCACTCAAATTCATAGAGAGCGCTATGGATGTAAGGACTAACCATGATATCAAAATTATAGTTTTAAGCATGGTTTGAGGTTATATAGTGTTTGCTTACATTTACATTGTTTGCAAACATTGGAGTAAAACAAGCTTATATTTTCGGTTCTGATGGGGTACGACAGTTGAACTATGCTCATGAGGCATTTACGAGTTATATTCTTCAAGAAGCAATGGGTACATATCATTAATTTATAAGTATGTAGCAAATGCAGATTTCCTCTTTAAGCACATAGGATGGTGGATGAGGTGAGCCTCACCTTAACGATGTAAAGCTTTGATGGTCTGGAAAATGTACGGTACGGCTCAGTCATGTTATACACAGTGCTTGAAGAGAGGCTTCACGGCCAACAGACACACATTGAAAAGGCATCAGCTTAGAGAGAAAGCGACACTGGCAAATTGGAGTTGGTCATACAGTGCCTCAGTGGCTTACATTTGATGTGCAAATAAAATGTGTGAAAACAGAGATTGCAATTTAATACGATTATGAAGGTTATAATAAAACTGGGCGAAGAGACTAAATTAATACTGTAAAACCTATCTGCATTAAAAGTCCCAATGAGGTCTGGATATATGCATCTAGGCCTATCTCCTGTTTTCTGGTTTCATAAAATTACAGAGACAAGAAAGATGTCATCCAGATATTAAGCTTTTAACCTAACGAAACAACACCACTACATTTTTAAACCTAATGACACAACACCACTACTACATGTTTAACCTAATGAGTAGGACTGGGAGATATGGCCTAAAAATCTTCGATTTTTTCAAACTTATGGGCGATTCACACTGTAAATCTAGATTTTTCAAATGTTCTCTAAATAAGCTTCATTGTACAATAAAAAATGTCAAATACACTGCATTTCAGACAGTCAGCAAAAATCTAATGAATTCAGGGCTTGTGATATTATACAGTGGGAAAAAAAGTATTTAGTCAGCCACCAATTGTGCAAGTTCTCCCACTTAAAAAGATGAGAGGCCTGTAATTATCATCATAGGTACACGTCAACTATGACAGACAAATTGAGAGAAAAAAAATCCAGAAAATCACATTGTAGGATTTTGAATTAATTTATTTGCAAATTATGGTGGAAAATAAGTATTTGGTCACCTACAAACAAGCAAGATTTCTGGCTCTCACAGACCTGTAACTTCTTCTTTAAGAGGCTCCTCTGTCCTCCACTCGTTACCTGTATTAATGGCACCTGTTTGAACTTGTTATCAGTATAAAAGACACCTGTCCACAACCTCAAACAGTCACACTCCAAACTCCACTATGGCCAAGACCAAAGAGCTGTCAAAGGACACCAGAAACAAAATTGTAGACCTGCACCAGGCTGGGAAGACTGAATCTGCAATAGGTAAGCAGCTTGGTTTGAAGAAATCAACTGTGGGAGCAATTATTAGGAAATGGAAGACATACAAGACCACTGATAATCTCCCTCGATCTGGGGCTCCACGCAAGATCTCACCCCGTGGGGTCAAAATGATCACAAGAACGGTGAGCAAAAATCCCAGAACCACGGGGGGACCTAGTGAATGACCTGCAGAGAGCTGGGACCAAAGAAACAAAGCCTACCATCAGTAACACACTACGCCGCCAGGGACTCAAATCCTGCAGTGCGAGACGTGTCCCCCTGCTTAAGCCAGTACATGTCCAGGCCCGTCTGAAGTTTGCTAGAGTGCATTTGGATGATCCAGAAGAGGATTGGGAGAATGTCATATGGTCAGATGAAACCAAAATATAACTTTTTGCTAAAAACTCAACTCATCGTGTTTGGAGGACAAAGAATGCTGAATTGCATCCAAAGAACACCATACCTACTGTGAAGCATGGGGGTGGAAACATCATGCTTTGGGGCTGTTTTTCTGCAAAGGGACCAGGACGACTGATCCGTGTAAAGGAAAGAATGAATGGGGCCATGTATTGTGAGATTTTGAGTGAAAACCTCCTTCCATCAGCAAAGGCATTGAAGATTAAACGTGGCTGGGTCTTTCAGCATGACAATGATCCCAAACACACCGCCCGGGCAACAAAGGAGTGGCTTCGTAAGAAGCATTTCAAGGTCCTGGAGTGACCTAGCCAGTCTCCAGATCTCAACCCCATAGAAA